GAAAAAGATGCAATCCGTCTACGCTCTTAATTAAGCGCGAGCGGAGTCGCGGGTAAGAGCTTGTGCCACATATTCAGTCTAAGAGGTGAGTTGCGCGTGTGCTCGTGCAAGCGGGTGCAGTAATAACTCTAAATATAGCTGTAGGTAGTTACAATAACCAGCACTCACTAGCAATTCACTGATCATGTTTATAAGATATAAATCACGCAGTGATTTCGACCGAAATGCCGAAAATAGCGCGCGCGCTTGTACTTACAGATGCCACTCCTTAAACCGATTAGGACCGTTGTAAATTTTAGTTAACTACATTGCAGAAAGGTAATTCCGTTACGCCTTAAATCTATAGCAGAATTTTGAATAGTATATTACATTTTATATTATTCTTAGACGTAGGAAAAACTATAGTTGAATGAGAGATGACTGCGACCAATAGAAAAGAAAAAAATAATATATACGCTATGTGAAATACAGAAAAAAGTTTAAAATAAAAATTGAAGATAGATTAATTTCACATAGGAAAGGTTAACACCTTATCCTCCTTTATTACATTAAAAAAAAATGCGTCTCGAACAGGGGGATAGCTGCCACGCCTGGTAAGCGAGATGACAAACGCAGTTTTTTTTATTTTTAATCGTTATTAGGAAGACGCTGAATTAGCATTGGAGCAAAGGTTCCTTTGCTCATGTGACATTAGTAGGTAATAAAAAGGAAAACCCTTTGCGGACGCACACACAACAACTCATCAAAAGTTTCATCGTAATTGAAAGAATGGTAGGTATCTATAGAAAGTAGGAACGCATACGAAACAATAAACAAAGAAACAATATTTTTTAAATATAAGATGCACCGTACATAATTGGAATACGTAACTAAGATGCAGTGTCTGAGGCAAGGAAAGATTCGAGCAAAACTAAAAAAAATTTCAAAAATCTTAAAATCGGCCAAAATTTTAATTTGTGACCATAAACAGTCAAAACATAACAGTCCAAATACTTCAGTCCAGTAACAGCTACTTCTATCCCCACTATACCCCTCCACTACACCAAGAATAATAGACACGTTTTCAATGTTATAATTAATTTTATATTTAAATTTTTATGAAGCATATTCAATTATTACGATAAAATACGAGTCCGTGCCAATATACTTAAAATTATAGCCGAAACAATAATTAACTTTATACAAAATATTAAAACTAGACTACAAAATCGCTCATATATATCAATATATCGTGCATAAACACTCAAACGGCTAATTTTATTATGCTTAAAAGTTTTTATATATCGGGAATCAAGGAAGTGACACAAGATTACTATTTAAAAATGTATTTATTGCTTTTCGAAGTATTCTCCGCGAAATTTGACACATTTTTCCATACGATGGAACCAATCATTGAAGCAACCATTCCATTCGGAAGTTAGGGTCTCCAAAATGGCCGTTTTGTAGGCGTCCACAGCTTCTTCAGGTGATGAAAATCTCTGTTCACGCAATTTATTCTTTATTTTAGGGAAAGTATAGAAATCATTAGGGCTGTACGGCGGATGGCTAATAATTCTATGTTTTCTTGCACTAAAAACTCTTTTGTTTTGTGTGCGGTGTGAGAACTCGCATTGTCGTGATGGAGGATGATGCGGCGGTTGCAGTTCTCTTTACGGAGTTCAGAAACGACCTGTGGCAAACAAATGCTAGCATACCATTCTGCATTAACCGTTCTTTGTCCCTCAAGAGGAATAGTCGTAACAGGTTTTGGAGACAAACGTGGCCACCATTTTTTTTGCAACACTCCGTCAACGTACAATTTTTGTTGGCTTTAACTCATTTTCGAACACCCAAACTCGTGACTGGTTTTTTGTTTCGGGTTCGTACGCATATATCCAGGATTTGTCACCTGATACGATGTTGTATACAGCATTTGAGGATCCTGTGTGGAATCTTTCGAGAGTTCTGACGCACCAAGTAACGTGAGCCGCTTTTTGCTCTTCATAGAGCGAATGCGGTATCTATCGGGAAAACAACTTTTTTACACCTAATTGTTCATGCAAGATTATTTATATTTGTCTCATGCCAATGTCTAAAGTTGCCTGAATTTCGCGGTATGTCACATGTCGATCTTCCTCAATCAACTTACGCACAGCATCAACGTTTTCTGGGGTGACTGCAGTTTTTGGACAACCTTGACGGGGATCATCACTGAGCTTGACACGTCCACATTGAAATTCAGCAAACCAGCGATAAATTGTGGTTTTGGATGGGGCTTCATCACAAAATGCAGAAATAATCCGGTCAACACACTGTTATTGTGTTAAACCACTTCGAAAGTCATAATAAATCATCGCTCTTGAATTTTCTCGAGTCAATTCCATTTTCTCAACGACTAAACAAGTTTGGCAAAACCTTGTGACAAGACCGAGAATCTTTTTTTAAATAAATAAATGGTATTCGATTTTTAAAACCAAGGACTTTTCAATTAAAAAGATTTTAATATGACAGGAACAGTGGAAATATTCCATTCCCGATACTTTTAGTGCAGCCTATGTATCAATCCTCCTCTCAGTGGGAAACAGTTCTTTCAGATTTCAGCTCATATCTAATGAAGAAACGTATAATAAAAGCCTAAAAGCAAATATTCTAACTAAAGTCACACTCTTATAGAATAGAACTAGCTTTTCCCCGCGACTTCGCCCGCGTGCAATTTAGGGTTTTAATTTTTTTCAAGGAACCTTAATTATTTTTCTGTAGGTAATAAAAGTAGCCTAAGTTACACCTTATGACATCAGCTATATGCCAGTGAAAGTCCCGTCAAAATCGGTCAAGCCGTTTCGAAGATTAGCCGGAACAAACAGACAGACAGACAAAAAATTTTAAAAGTGTATTTTTGTTATAAGTACCGTTTATACTTTCATATGCATTGAGTAAAACGCTGTAATTTTGACATTACAAACAAACACTTTAATTTTATTTATTTATACAGATACAATGGTTCGGTGATTAAGCACCCTTTCACGTTGTCCCAAGCAAATGTACGAGTATGTACTTGTACTTCACCTTCCCCCCGTAAAAGTCCACTGTACCCAGTCCGACACCGTACACTGTTCGACAGTGTACGGTGTCGGACAGTACAGCCCATAGACATCTACATTTATCCTCGTTTGCGAATCAAAATGCAGATGCGTTGTCACCTGTGAGGACTAAGATGGAATGCCTTTTATCCAGTAAATAGGGTCTCCAGTTCTCTACAATCGTCATACGAAACACAGCAGCATTAAGCTGCTATTTTACGCTGGTATTCTGTGAGAGCGTGGTCATTCCCGGATCGAGCCGACCCATTCGTGCTACTACTATACAATTAATATAGCTGCAGCATGGCTCTACCACGTTTAGGCCCGTTGTGGACAGGGTTTGCTTTAATCGTCACGCTTGTTAGTCGGATTGACTATCGCCATAACAGACGTCTGGGTATTTTACGTCTGGCATAAACGAGATGGTTACACTGTCATCTATTTGAAGCCATGAAAAATTTCTAACTTTTCCCATATCGGCTCTTACGACCAGCAACGTTCGAAATTCCTCATTTCTTTTTTATTAATGCATCTATTCTTCAATTAATGAAAGAACTGAACATTCCATGAAAAACACTAGCATAGTAGCATGTTTTTAATAACGAGTGATTTCAAACAACGGGTAAAGTTATAAACTTAGTACAACCGACTTCAATATAAATAAAATAATTTATTGTTGATTTTTTTTTAAACCGCTAGACCGATTTCGATAAAACCACCTGGCAAGTATACCCTTTGAAACAAAAAACAATTTTCCAAATCGGTTCAGGCGTATTCGAGTAATCGGTGAACATACATAAAAAAAGATTCAAGCGAATAGCAAACCTCCTCCTTTTTGAAGTCGGTTGAAAAGGGATTTTTTAAAGGGGAACAATTTTAAAGGAACTCCATCCGCGGCTGGTCGTTGCTGCTGGTGATAAGAGGACTGGTTCTTTTCTCGCTCAAAGGCTAAGTATAGCCATTCAGCGGGGAAACGCAGCCAGCGTTCTTGGCACGATACCGCGGGGAGTAGGACTGTATGATAATTAAGTTACTAGTTTTTTTTCATTATAGTTTTTAATATTTATATTATATATTTTTATTTTTATCCATTTCTCACTCATTCATTACAGCCTATCAAAATTCCACTCTGAACAAACCTACTCCTCACCACAGAATAAATAATTGTACCACGTACTCTCATCCACAGATCTCCTAAGGAAAAAAATTCTATTCCTTGCCCTGCTTCATTTTGAGACATGTATCAGTAACTGAATTTTAAATTTTATGCAAATTATTACACCCTCACCAGTCACCACTACACGGTGAAATATCAGAAACTATGACCAGGGATAACTCTAGGTTTTTCTATAGTCGACAATATTGTGCAAAAACTAAAGTTATAGCTAATGTTAAAAGGAGTAAAGTAAGTTAGGCTACATTTATTTTAGAAAAATAATTAGGGTTCCACCCAAAAAAGTTAAAACACTATGAAATTCAAATTCCACGCGGGCGAAGTCGCGGGGAACAGCTAGTTATATTATATAATTATAAAATTGGCGCAGTTTCCGAAAAAACAATTACATGTATTTACTTAAGCATAAATTAGAAGAACTCACTAAAATATTAAGATATTATATTGAATTTTATTTCTTGTACTGTTATTTATTCTGTGATTTTATTAAAGTTACTTGCCCTGCAACTTATCGACACTAACGCAATTTTCTATCATATTTATTATGAAGTAGAGTAACGCAAACAGCGCAGGTGACCATGTTGCTCTAAGCTCATGTATAGTACTGCCAAACTCAATTATAGTTGCACCTAACCTAAGTCTTGTAACACATACGCATATTATCAGAAATGAAAACAACCTATCTGTCAAAAATATTTGTAATAAAGTCTAAATATTTTAGAAGCTTTTTTTTAATATTATAATAACAATATTTTTTTCTTTCACAGGACCAAGCAATATCACAGTAAACGCAAATTCTACCGAAACGTTTCCAGCAAATCTTCTAGAGCCTATATACGAGAGCACAAGAGAACATTCGGGGTCTGATTTGGCCACTAACTTGACGACCGAAGCAGCTTCGATGTTGGAAACTACGCACGACGACTCCAATTCCTATGACGTTGGCACCGACAATGACACAAATTCTATAACATGACGCCACAACACGAGCAATCCACTATAACGAACAGACTGTAGTTAAAATATTTTAAATACGTAAAAGTGAGAACTGTTTATAGTATGACATTCTTAGATAAAAGGTTTTGCCAAGGGAAGCATGTGTATAGTAGTGAAAAACTTTACCAAATAATGATGTTTGGTGCCAGCAAGTACCTATGAGCTGTACAATAATTGTAATGAATGCATAGTAAAACGTATGGTGTGCGATAAATGTACGCCTATAACCAGTGTATAACTATAATTCAAACCAATTTTTAGAACTAAATACCATAATTGTTCTTCTTTCCAATTTCTCTAGAGCCGTCGTAGGTCAGGCGCTAAGCACTCGATGTAATTTCACAGTACGCGAGCAACCCGAGTTCGTTCCCCGCCAGCACCAATAAAATAGTTAATTGCAATTTTAAAAGCTGATTTAACACGTGCTCGGCGGTGAATGAAAACATCGTGAGGAAACCTGCATGTCTGAGAAAAAAGAAAAAAAATTTGAAGACATGTGTAGTTCGCCATTTCCTTGCTCTAAAACCCTCTCAGAAATGAGAGGAGGCCTGTGCCCAGCAGTGGGACGTATATAAGCTGTAACTTTAACTTTCTTCATCATCAGTCTGCAAAGTGCACTACAGGACATGAGGGAGGATTTGGCTTTATCGTGACCCAGGCGGATTGCAGTACCAGGGGTCCACCGACTTTGACGCTGTCGATACCCCCGATCCTCGTCCACATGCCGTCGACGGTCTAGATCAGGGATTCCCAAACTATTTTGGGCAAAAGACCACTTTTCCAAAATGAACTGATACCTATATCTCTAAATTTTTTCCTCACGATACAAAATACTTACCAATTTAAAAAGTTTGCGGTTGGTTAAGTGAGTAAACTTGACATCATTTTCTCATCAAAATTTAACAAAGTAAATAGACATCAAGTTCAGTAAATATCAAGTGTAATTAATAATTATTAATACAAATTACGTAAAAATACTTAAGGTGAAAGCTCCAGGGTGGCCCGCGAAATTCAAATATTCTTACGTTTTTTTGCAATTTGTAGGTCAGTGTCAGGTTGTATGTTTAACAAAATAAGATTCGTGACCGTAGCGAGTAAGTATCTACAGAATTATTATCATTAAAATCACCAATACAACCCTCCAAGTTCATATAATTCCTTTGAATGAGTTTTTCTGGAAATAGCCATAAAATAATCCTATTGTATGGCTATTTCCAGGAATTTTGCCGGCCACCCTGGAGCTTCCATCTTAAGTAAATTTTCATTCCAATAAGAACTTGTCTTAATTAATAGGGGTCGATTTTTAGACCTGGGGAAACCGATTTTGACCCCAAAGGGTCGATATTGACCACTTTGGGAATCCTTGGTCTAAATATTTTACGACTGGGTAAGTGAGGTGATCAATGCAACATTTGTCGGAAGCCATGAGATCTTTCTGTAGTTTCCCATAGACGCCTTTCACGACACCCATGGGATAAAGGGTTGTCTTACGCCGCCAAAACATTTATACTATAAATACAAATTGTTTTATTGTTATATTTTGTATAAAGCGCTCTTATTTTTTGTTCGTAGATAGATAAGGTTTCCTTTCAATAAAAGTAAAGCCGTTCTACTCGGATATAATAAATAAGCTGTTTATTATGTGTTCAGTAGACATTAAAATTTTATCTGCCAAAGAGCTTTGTGTGCATATATTGTTATATTCTCACAATTTAGTTAAGATGCGGTTGTTAATCTAAGTAATTTATTAAAATGTTTTATGACAGAAAAAAATATTTAATCTTTTAATTGCAATAGACCAATATCCTTGTTTAAATTGATCGATATGAATTAATAGATACCTAAAGACCATATAAATATAAAATACTTAATGTAAATTAGCCATTCATGTATTAGAACATTACAAAAATTTTACGTAGGGTTCTTAAGAAAGTTTTAATTTTTTAATAAAGAAAAAGTTTAAATATACGAAGAAATTTAAATTCAAAATATGTTGTCGATTAAACCTTCGATCATATAAGTATACTTAACATATAATATGATCTAGGAATTAAACGTATGTCGAATTAAATTCAATCTATAAGTGTGAAGCACATCAGGTAAAATATTTAATAGATAATCCAGTCATTGTTTCTGGATGTAGGTACATAGAAACTTAACTAAACTTTTGGCAACGTGAACCAATAGGCATAGTTGAATTGGAAGCCAATGGGAAGCAAGGAACAATGCACTGTGAACTTACTACTTCCATTACGTTAATCTAGTGGTCGTAAAAGCAGTTGCTGATGATGAGGTCCCGGAATCGGATTCTGTCAAGAAATTCTCAGTAGCAGGAGCCTGGAGTCAGGAGATTGGCGGTGTTTCACCGCCGTGCCTCGGAGAGCGCGTAAAGTCGTTGGTCTTGCACATGATCTCTCTCACAGAACACTAATCCTTAGGATCTGTCTCCAGTCGCGTCGGATAACCGTCTCATCGGACTATTAAAGCGGGAAAACGGAGAGTACACTTTTGCTTGCGCATACACTCTGCTCTGGCACTATAATCTATATTTCTGTCCAGTCCAGATACCTAGTTAGTCTCCGTTGAACCTGGCCGCAGTGACCGAAATTCGGTCTGGAGGACATTATTATTAATTACCACTTCCTTATTCAATAATGATTTGATCTCAATTAATTTATTATATGTACTTATTAAATTTTTAATTAAGTAAAAACTACTAAAACATACTCTTAAGAAATAATATAAGTTAATAAAAATTGTAAACGCCATGGCTATACTGACATAAAGAAAACAAGTTATCTTGAATTCTTTTATATTTCTAAAAAATATCTTGTTTCCACTATGATAGTTTTCTTCACATATTCAAAGAAAGTAACAGACATAAAGAAAATCTAATAAAGGTTTAGTACCTACATTAATGCACCAAGCGATGTACCTACATCGAAATGTATATTATGAATTTAAACGCAAATCCAACTTTCGAAATTCAATATAATGTAAAAGAGACCCACATTAATACACAAATATTTACTTTATATTAATATTCAGTATTACTGTTTCCTTAAAAGTATAGTTTAATAACCTTATAATTATTTATTTAAAATGCCTATTCTTTGCAAAAATATCCCTTCGATAAAAATTATAATTTTCACAAAATAATGAGAAAATTTTCGTTGATTTCATCGTTGTAAAATAAAATGTACTTATGGTGTCTAAAAAAGGTGAAGCTTTTGTGTAATTTTGAATAGTACCAATTATGTTTTAGTGTTCAGTGACTACTATCGCGATTAAAAATGTACAAAATTTATTAGAATTTGAACTATATTGGAATTTTTTTGACATTATATTTATTTATTACAAAATCTAATAGCCTTACTTTATTTAGCATGGATAAGCGAAAAGCTATGAAAAAGACTTTTTCTGGATTTTGTTTCAGTAAATAAAAAGTACTTCTTCCACTTCTCTGGCATAATTGCAATATCTGAGTGTCTGAGAAGAAGTACTACTAGACGTTAGGCTAATTATAGTGGACAAACAAATATAAATACTTACCACTGCAGGCAGACTTCACTTATCCTGGCTAAATATGGAAAGGTCTGCATCAGAATATTATAAAAAATAAATATAATAAGTCAAAAATATTTAACAGACTGAGTTATACGTGTTGATCCACTGTACACCTCGGTCCAGTGTATCCCACTATCCCCTACCTATGCAGGTGATTTTGGGTACAGGTCTACTATGGATCAAACTCTGGAAATATCCTACTTTAGATATTATTATCTCACAATATTTTTTTTTCTTTTTATTTTTAAGTTAATGTTTTCTGAACATCGGTATAGAAGAATTGCTACCAAAAATATTTTACTGCAAAGTGAATTATTCACTAATCGAGTGTTGAATAAATAATAGTACCACGTACCTAGTAGGTACTATCATTATTCTGTGATTGAACGTAGTCACAGATCTAACTCAGATCAGCTCATTATCCAAACAGTGACAATTAGAGCCTAGTCGTCAAAGTACCTGGCCTCGGTTCGAATTTTGACAGGAGCCTGAATTTTTCTAATAAAAAGTATTATCTCCATATCAATTAAATACCTAAAAATTCTTCAACGAAATCTATCTAGACTAGATCTACTATTTTCTAAAATTTTAGATTTGTTAGCGATATAGACAGGATTTTTTTCCGATGACCCATTTTAACCATTTACACTAGGTAATTTTAGCCATGTGGTCATAAATACCGATTAAGACGGACACTAATGATGATCATTATTTATAATATTTAAATTTTTAAAGTATATAGTAGTATAAAGTCTATACTTTATAGACTACAGATTGATAAAACAATGACGTGCGGTTTACTACTTTCCAATAAATATTAAATAAACAGGGTTATTTTTCAAAAATTAGCCAAATTTTAAACTTAAGTTTAAATATATAATGATTTTTTAAATATATATTGTTATTGCAATTTTCGAAAATACAAGTAAATAAGGCTTCCACTTTTATTTGAAATTATCCCAAATTTAATGTGATTTATGTGCGATAACGTTTTTGACTACCGATCGACCCTTATGAATGTGTGCGTGCACAGTAAAATCAGTTAAAATAATACATTACCACGCATAATGAATTTAAAAGATAAAAAGCACAGAATTAATTATTGAGATTTATTTAATTAATTTTTCTTCACCATTTGCCTATATTACATATTCTGAACCTTCTCTGCAAATTTGGCTGGTTATTGCAAAATAACCCTGTATCTATATCTTTAAGAACATGTTATTTTATATTGGCCCATCCTTTGACTTATGTAAATATATATCACATAACATTATATAAGTATATAGTTATTGTATTACTGCAGAATAGTGTCAATAAACATAACCGTGTAAGAAAAATTTACTATAAGATCCCAGTAGAGAGCGTTTAGTTAGCGGAGCATGCAGCTTGTCATCATGAAAACTAGGTACA